AGGAAACCCCGTCAGTTTCCGCAGTCTGGAAAAGTGGGAATCAGAAATATCACAATTGGATATTTATTCAAAAACAAACTGTTACGACGGGGTATAAGGGAAATTATAGATAGAAAAAAATGAGGATTTTTTTCCCAAAACATAGTAATTTTTAGATTAATCTAGGAAATGTTCTTGTTCCTTATGGAAATTTATAACATTAATCTAAACTTTTCTCAGAAATATTCTACAATTTCTGAGAAAGAAAATTATTGAGATCAGAAATTTTCTCTTTTTTCATAGAAAATGTCAGATTAATCTCAAAATTTCTCAGAAATATTTAAAAAACAAGCTTCTTGGTTTCACAAGTAAAAATTTTTTAAAGAAAAAACTCAGAAATGTTGAGATTAATCTCATAAATTTTTTACAAAAACAAGGAAATTTCTGAGCTCCAAAAGCAAAACAATTCAAAGAAAAAACTGAAATATTTAGATTAATCTCAGAAATATTCTACAAAAAAAGCATTTCTGAGTTTCAAAAGACAAATAAAAACTCACTTTTTTTCAGAAATATTCTACAAAAAAACAAGAAAACTTCTGAGCTCTAAAAGTGAAAAAATCATTAAAAAAACTGAAATTTTGAGATTAATGAAAAAAAATTCTACAAACCACAAGGAAATTTCTGAGCTCCAAAAGTCAAAAAATTGCTAAAAATAAATCTGAAACTTAAAGATAAATCTTAGAAAGATTTGAGACATAAAATCTCAAATCTTTCCTGTTCCATTATTGTATCCGTCCATCAATCTGTACAATCAAGCCATCAAGATTTTTTCCATCCATCCATCCTGTGACATTATCAACACATGTCATTTACTACCCATCAGTTTGTCATACAGTCTCCAATAGTCAAACAAGCAATAAACTTTACAATTTGTCAATTGCCATTATCAATCCACACCTTAATATGTTACTCAGGGTCCAATCTAAATCTCCCAGAAGTATGAACAATTCTAGGTTTAACTGTACCTATTTGATGATGTATTAATAGACAAAACATCTTGGTGAATAATGTTGGAGTCAGAGTGGGAAAATGCTGAGTCACTGCTTACACTGCCTCTTTTCATCAGTCAAACTGAAATGCAAACAACAATCTCAGCCTAGAACAAACAGTCCCTGTGCAAATACTATTAAAAATTCTTGAACCGTGGCAGAACCTTCTGATGGGATCTCGTTTTTCTGTTCCTTTTTGGCACATTGAACTGAAATGTTCAGATTCGAAAGGAAAATTTACAACAAAAATGCAACGAGAGTGAATACATGTTTGTGGGGTGATTTGAACAAACAAACAGAAGTCATATGAGAAGAGACAAAAAAATAATTTATGATGTGTAGACTGTACAAAGAGATGATAGAGGGTTATAAAAGTCATTTATATTTTGTCAAAGCCTGTCTGTGTGGAATAATCCATCAACAGATCGCTAAACACCATAAAAGTCAAACTGTTACAGGAAACCATGCATGTTATCAGAAAACCAATTCAGGGCAATAAAATCTAATTTGCTACAAGTTATTTAGATGTTTATTGGTGTTTCACTGGTAAAGTAAACAAAAATATGAGTCTACAAACCATGCCTTCATTTAACAGTTCTTGTAAATTTTGATTACAATACTAATGCTAGCTATACTAATGCTAACTTTATGCATTTATTGGATTAAAACTACACCAAGATGAAGCACTGAAAAAACAAAGCACTTCATGATTTGATAGTTTCTAGAAACTTCTTTTAGGAACAATCAACCTTGTGTACGTGCTGCTGTGCAATGGCAAAGAAACAAGGGAAACCGTTAATCTGCCATTCTAACTAGCCTGAGCATTCTTGACAGGCTCGGAAATAAGATGTAGCGTATAAAAGTTATGTACTGCAGTTTTAAAAGCAAAAATTGATTTTTCTTAGCATGAACCCATACTGCTGTTCATAAATGCTCACTTCTGATATAAGCCTACCCTCCGTTACTATTTCCTGCTGCAGCTGCACTTCCACTGCAAATTGGAATTATGAAGATAATTTCGGGGAAAAAAACTCAAATTTTTTGATTTAAAAAAAAATTGCATGCTCGGATAAGTTGGTTTTTCGGCCGTATCAAAATTACTGTATTCTGCAAAACTTTAATGGAAACGTTTTTCACATCACACAAGTCATGTGATCTACAACCGAATGTTACTACTTGGGGAAATGATGAAGAAGACGACAGGAAGTGACAGAAGGATGACACGTGAATAAGCTTATTCACATGTGATTTGTAACTGCATTTCTTATTTAATGGAAACACTGCAAAAGCAAAATTGTGTTTTTCGACATTAGATGAAGATTGACAAAGTTTTGTGCACATTTGTAACGGAAATGCGGCTAGCTTCATGTTATGACCCATTAGCTTTACCACTTTTGACACACTTTTATAAAAAATCGGCACTGAGCTTCACAGGTTCAGTTGCTGTAAAATTAGCCCAAATTATTAAATTTTCTAAACTGTGACTGACCCTGATTGGAAGTGCTTGATTATTTTGCAGCTAAATCTTTATTAATTATGCCTGGTTGTTTGTCTCCATGTTTTCCTTGTACGGGTTGGCAACCTCTGCATGCTGAACCCTGCTTCTTGTCCTTTGACTGCTGGGATATTCTCCAGCTCACCCCTTGCAACAACAAACACGATCATGAAGCTGCAGAAGCTAGAAACAGATGGATGGATGAATGAGCTCCACTTCATCTGTTCAAGTGATATCGTTCCAAGGTTCTGTAACATGTTTAGGTGCAACTTTGCAAGTCTAAGCAATGCTGTCATGTCCTTTTTCGAGAGAAAAAGACTTTCCACTGGCAGTCCTTCCAGCACAGCCGTTCTTGCTAATTGCACTGTCATAAAACGTAACATTTAACATTTGAAACCAGGCCTTTAGAGGCTGAGAGGGAGCTTTCGGGTGGTCTGTATTCTCTTTGAGCATCGCACAGTCTGTCCTTAGAGTAAACCTACTCAGACATCCAGTCCCAGAAGACGAGAAAACCTCTTCTGGCACTGACTTTGTGATTTCTTCAGAGACCCAAGGAACCAGTTTGGGAAACTCAGCTGAGGACACATGCAGCTATGTTGTGAAAATACCAACAGCTTCCCTTGGGGCTGCAGAATAGCCCATCATTTGCCAACAACAGCACAAACAAGACACAAATAGCACTTTCTGTATAATAGCTTTACTGTCTTAACCATTAACAATAAATACCCTGCAATACAGTAACAGCTCAGTCACAGACATGCTGGAAATATAAAAAATAAAGAATGAAGAGAAGCACTCAGCAGATGCAAGATGAACAATGCAAGATTATTGCACTTTTATGTACAATTTGGCAAATCAGATCTCAATAGTCATGTGATTTAACGGATTAAGACTGCATGATAAGACAAATAAACCTACAACATGTATAAGGCAGATTACCAAACTTAGAAAAATAATCAAGCCCAAAGACTAAACTCTAAACCTAAACATTCAACTGAACTAGCAGCCACTTATGTTTCATTTAACACATACTGCTTTGGTGCACACAAGTGTAACATAAAAAACTATTTAAGGCAATGTTTTCAATGGCTACGCATAAAAAAAAACCTATTCAGCTTTGTGGTTGTAAACTGAAACGTAACACTGACAGACAGGAGATGGAAAACAAAATTCATCAACCAGCTTTTGTTTGACTGACATAAATGGAAAATACTTTACTTTTTTTAGACATTGAATGCAACAGAACTTTAAGCTCCAACCATTTTTGGTTTATAAATGCATCAATTAAGAGGACTTGTAAGACATTCCTAAAAATAAGACTAAGATTAGGAATTTTATGCATTACACTGCAAAAATACTAAATCTTACTAAGTATTTTTGTATAGTTTCTAGTGCAAATATCCTTCGCACACCTGAAATAAGACAAAACTAACTAAAAAGCAACTTTTCAGCAAGACATATATTATTTTAAGTCAATAAATCTTGATTATAAATGCAAAAAGTACTAGGTCCACTGGTAGATTTTTTAAAACCTAAAAACAGAAAATAAATTTGTTATAGGTGGAAAAATCTGACAGTGGAACTAGTACTTTTTAAAAATCTATATAGCTAGAATAAATAATGATTTAAAAATAATGTGATATAATTTGATGAAAAGTTACTTTTAAGTTAGTTTTTTTCTTACTTCAAATGTACTAAGATATTTGCACTAACTCAGAGTTTGTGTTTTTGCAGTGGAGCGGTGATAATATGCACCTTCTTTTTTAAAGTGTTTATAGTCCTTACAGAAAACAAAACAACTGACTCTGTCAAAATGAAAACGAAAATCTGAAGTCAGAATCGGCCAGAAAAAACCTATTTGATGCTTTTCGAAGAAATTTCAATTAGTTGTAGAATTTCTAATCATCTGAATATAATTAGATAAGAAATATGGAATTTTAGGAAACAAGCCTCCAAAAATGGCCATGAATCTGTTAATTTCACTCATTATTTAGAGTCAGCTGCCAGTACATATACTCCATCTAGACTCTAGAGTGAGTTTTAGTAACGGAGAAAAATAGCATTTTAATTGAGTTTCCTGGTGTTTTCCGTCAGTGAGATGCTTGCATTTGATTATATTTACATTTTTAAATAAATGCACACCTTCCCTCTGTCTAAATGGTAAAGTAAAGCCAAATCTGTGTTTTGGCTCTGGACTTTGAAAGAACAGGTTAATTTCTTGCATTGCAAAGACATTGTTCTCATTTCTAGTGCAAATATCTTAAAACACATTTTCATCAAGATTTAGAAACTTGTTTTAAGTCACAAAATTCCTTAGTATTGATGAAAAATTGATTATTGCGTTAGCAGATTATTTCACTCAAAATATGGGAACAATGTTTTGTTATAAGTGAAGAAATCTGCCAGTGAAACTAGTATTTTTTTATCTATATTAAGGAATTATTGACTTAAAACAAGCTCCTACAGCTTGATGAAAAGTTACTTACAAGTTAGTTTATTACGACATTTGCACTAGAAACTAGAACAAAATTACTTGGTAGGATTTTGTGTTCTTGTAAAGTGTGAGATCATTAAATAAACAAGTACCATCCAAGCACACAACTATCAGTGAAGGTAATAAAATGAAGAGTGAACACACCGAATGAGCTGCCTTGGAGCAGTGCCTGAATGCTGGACTTCTTCTAAAACTGAGCATATTTTAAATAGTGTAGTGCTGTTTAGTTAGTAAAATAAATCATGTGGAATATTGGCAACTTGCCCTATAAAAATTTCCGCTCTTGTTTCAGATGAAACAGAAGAAGTCCTGTGGCTGTGTGAGCGTCAGTAGCAGTAGTAAAGTTGAGAGCGCAGCGCCCTGAAGCCGTCCTCCTCCCGTCCTCCTGCCTGCTCCCCTTCACACAGCATGGAGTCTGGGAGCACCACGCCCTCTAGTGGATCCGGCTGGCAGAACTCCACCACAAACTCCTCCTCGCAGTCCAGCAGCAGCCTTGACCAGGCGCTCATGTCCAGCCGGCCGGCGGTGCCGCCGTATTCCTCTGGCAGAACCGACGGCGGGATGTTCCGGTGCAGAGAGCGCAGGTCCGACCCGTGCAGGACGTACTGTCAAGAGGGACAGAGGAGACGATTACACCGACTCTAATCGATATCTCATCTCATAAAACCAGCAGCTGTAGGTTGTTTTCACACCAACATAGAGGGTTCTATCCAGTGAAACCCTCTATATCTATGTATATAGATATAGAGAACAGAGAAAAGGCTCAAGATAATTCAAGGACAACAGTTACCCTCTCTGCCATCTTCTCCTTCAGGAAAGGCTTGATTATAGCAAAGATGCCTTTGAAAATCCGGGGCTCGTTAATTATGTTAACGGCCTTGATTCTGATGGGAAAACCATCCTGTTAATTAAAGGCAGAGACCACAATCAGAACTCCTTCAAAACTTCTTTTGTCTAAATTAAACACATCGTATTCCACGATGTCTCACCTGGAGGATGCTCACGATTTTTTTGGCAAGAAAAGGACCTGGATTGGAGGCTTGCGACATTCCCACCCCAGTGTAGTCGGCTAGGATGACCAACCCGTTCACCTGCGTTTCCTCCGGCTGGATCAGCTTCTCCAGAGTCAGATAAAGAGCCCGCACATTGTCCACAAACGGATAGTCGTTTGGCTTCCATTTTCCTGGAAGAAAATCCATATTGACAAAATTTAATGACATAAACGTTGTGGATTGCAAAGATTATTAAGGGAGCATTCACACTATCCCTGTTTGATTCTGCTTTAATCCAACTCCAGTTTGTTTGTTTAGAAGGTCCGGTTCATATGCGAAATCAAACTCTGATTTGGACCAACAACAAAAATCAAACAAAACTCCATCCATCCATCCATCCATCCATCCATCCATCCATCCATCCATCCATCCATCCATCCATCCATCCATCCATCCATCCATTCATTCATTCATTCATTTTCTTCCGCTTATCCGGGGTCGGGTTGCTGGGGGAGCAGCTTAAGAAGGGAGGCCCAGACTTCCCTCTCCCCACCTAAAAACCTCAATCTTGGTTCGGTTGAATTCTGGTGTGGTTTCAGTGCAGTGTGAATGCAAGCAGACCCGAGACAGCTGCAAAAGCAGAAGCTAACTATAGCACAGCTAACTATAGCGCAGAGTATTTTGGTCAATATATTACTCTCAGTTCTGTGGGTTAGTGGAGGTGTTGTGACCCAGAGAGTGAGGAAAAGCAGAATATAAGAGGTTTAAAGTTGTTTTACGCCTGTTTATTAGGCCCGAGCAGCTAAGCGCTGCAAAGGCCTATTGAAATTGTGCTGTAAATTATTATGCTTCCGTAAAATAAATTGCCTTTTTGGAGGCTTTATTATATTCAAAAACTCACCAAACCTGGCGGACGCATACAGCCCGTGTGAAATTTACGTATTTTAAGGTCGACGCAAAAATTGCAAAAAGAAATGGCTCAACGGCGCCACCTAGCAACTTTCAAAAGACCCTTTCCTATTCACTTACTTTATCGTAGAGACTTGAAATTTGGTACACTTGTACAGCTCCTCAAGACACTCTGAATTTACAATTAATGTCATAGTGCAAGTATGACAGGAAGTTGGCCATTTTGGATTGAAGTTCCGATTTTGACCCCATTTTGGCCGTTTACAGCCTTCGCATTTGATTGAACTCCTAGGGATTTCGATCGATCGGCTTCAAACTCGGTCAGATCGTTCATAAGGCATGGCCGATTAAAAACTCACTAGGATGGATCCTTATCGGCCCCCCGACAGAAATCTATAAAAATATTTATACCAGCCCTCAGCACATTTAGGTGGTCAATTAATGACATCACCTTAGCCCCGCCCACTTCCGACAGGAAGTCACCTGTTTTTTCTACTGTATGTCTTACTTTTACTGTGTTATTCATATGGAATTAATCCTCTGCCAACTGACATGAAATGACCTGATGATGAACTCTGTCAATGCTGGCTGACCTGTGGGGGCGTGGCCAAATGGCAGTTCCTCGCCATATGCATACGATTGTCTCTAAATCACACATGCACCTTCCAATTGGCACCAAACTGGATACGTGTGACCTTTGTTCACCGCTAGAGAGCCCAACAACATTGAATTGTAATTTGACTCCACTGCGCCCCCTAGGTCATTCTATCAGCTATATTTCCTTGTTACATTGGCCGATCTGTACCAGATTTTTGGTGTGTCGTCAGGGAGCGATGCTGAACTCATTGGTTCGGCATCGCCGAACCAATGAGTTCAATTTTAACAAACTAATTTTAACATTGGTAATTATGTACAATTACATTACTGACCAATCTGAAAGAGAAAATTGTTTAGTTCTCTCTTGTTTGTTGACAGAACTGACAGAAAACCAACCTACTTATATATTCATATCCAGAGACGATACATTTCAAAATCGATTCCTTCAGTAGTTCTTGGTGCAGCGCCCCCACAGGCGAAGAGGAGAACTGTTTTTTTCAATTAGTTTGAATCGTTTGACACAATGCAGTGTGATTGGTTCCCAGTGGAACCAAGTCTACTGAACTATCATGGAGGACTAAGGCAGATCTGCTTAACAATCTATTATGGAGTCGCTTATTAGTTGCAGAACTGCTGATATCTTCATCGAGGCAAATAAAGAGACGGACCTGGCCGGAGGAAGAGGATGTATCTGCCGTTGGGATCGGGTCTCGGCAGGACCGTGAGAAAGCCCAGGTCCAGGACGTGTTTGACCGTGGATGGCTTCAGGTCCTGGAAGACCTCCGGCCAAGTTTTACGGCCCGCGTGGTAATTGAGCAGCAGCTGCAGAGCGCGGTCATAGTCGAACTTCCTGGCCCGCAGGAAGCGCAGGAGGAAGGCATCGTCCAGTCGGGTTCTGAGATTGGGATGTTCCTGGAAGAAAAACACATAAATTCACTAAATGAAAAGCTTCCAGTTGAGAGGCATTGCAAAATAATTCTTACTTCTTGATTTTTTTAAAATTTGGATTCATTTTAATGAATTTCATAAGAATTTTTTATGAGAAACCAAGTAATACATTATTATATTTTCAAAATATCAACCGAGGCCTTACACACACATAGCCAGGTCTTTATAAAACTAATATCTCCATCACATATTTTATAAAAATAACATTGTAAACAGCATTAGAACAATTTCATCCAAATTAACCCACAAAATTCAAGATTTGCCTGAACGATAAATTGTCTCAGTAATCACTGCGATAAACGATAACGATAATGAATTTGAGACCTTTTTCAAGTAATGATTAATTTAAGTTTGGACTTTCAAACACAAATAAGGTTTGAGGCTTAGTTCTTTACTAAACCTCAAATTAGTAAAGAACTCTTAACACTGAAACTGGAAAATATTTTAAATTTAAATAAAATAAACACAACAATCAAAATCAATAAATAAAAACTACTTGCAACTGAAACCATAAATAAAATTACAAATTACAATGTTGCTGTCAACAAAATTTCCCTTCAAAAAATGAACCATCAGAATGGAAATTATTGATCTCATTTTAAAATGCCATGCGATTAACTGCTTATTACTTACCCCTACGTGTTGTTTTAAACATGCCAAACAAAGCTAAAACCTGCTGAAATGGCACTTTGTTTTTATAAATAATAATTTTTAGTGATGTTAAATTGAGTTTTCATGCAGATGAAGGACCAAAACACCCAAAGCAGTTGCTTATTTTAGGATGTTCTTCGTGGTAAACATGAAGATGTCATTTTAATTCTAGGTCTATAAATAGGACGCAGAAGCACAAAGAAAAAGTCAACCACACCCTTGTTAAATCAGCTTTAGCAGAAGTAACATGAAATACATTGGCAGATGTGTTTATACTGGATGAACGAGTTTGAACAAAGCTTTACTTAAAGGATATGGTCTATTGAAAACCATCACCTACTTACAAGAAAAGGACAAAAATCTGATTATTAAATAGAATATTATGGTTCTGAACTAAAGATTGCAAAGCAAGCCCAAATAATCACACCTGAATAATAGGAAAATGAGTCTGTGCTGATTCATTTTTGCAATACTTGACTTGTTTACAGTATTTATTATCATAAAAGCTTAAAAGTAAGAAAACCTTAAGAATCATGTCTCTCAGTGCTTGGACATCTCGTAGGCGCCACTCGGGCTTCTCCTGGAGCTCTTCCCGTGCTTTGGCCACCAGTTCAGGGGTCAAGGTGCAGGAATACATGGGTGGAGGTGGGCCAGGGAACCAGCTGTGTCCTGCAGCTGTTGCATGGTCCGCCTGGGGAGGACTGAGGCTGACGGACTCATGCTGATCGGCCATGGACTGACTGAGAGAATCTGAAAAGAAAAAAAGAAAGGAAACATCTGTGAAAACACAAGCAGTACTACTTCCAGCTAAGTAGCATACTTCCATTGGTTAAATAGTAAAGCAGATCTTTTTAAGTCAATCCAGCTAAATTCACTGGGAAAACAGGTAATTTCTCTCCATTATGACACTTTAACAAACAGCACTTTGTGATTTATTTATCGTAAGACATTATGTTCGGCATAAAAATTAAAATATGGTGCGTTCAGGTGCATCGATGTTTGCATATAAACCACTTTATCTCTGTTAATTTATAAACTGCGGAGATCACTACACTGTTTCAAGCCTCTAATGCAACCATATGATCAAAATATTATTGTACTTGTTCTGCTAACCCATAACGGACGGAACCTATGCGGCGGAACCTGGTTCAGGCAAAAAGAAATATGCATACTGACCCAAAATGAGCCAAATTATTACCTCCTGCAAGAGACAGTGGTCTACCTAACAAGCTCCGCGGGAAAAAATATAAATATTAACAGAAGGGAAGGTAAAGACTTTCAAAAAACCAGCAACTAAGTCAAAAATCACAACTGACCTGTCGATACAAAATCCTTTTTTTCCGGGTTTTGTGAACGGGGTTCTCCCATTGGTCCGTTTGCATCACGTGACGCTCTGCTAATGCGCAGCGTCTGTTGCCCTGATGTGTTCGAGGTCTGTCGGAAACAAACTCACATAGATATTTTTATGCTTTATGTCTATTTAAAAGCATATTTAATTACATTTAAAAGTTAACTAAACTAACTCAACATCCCATCGTCTTCTACCTGCAGATTATAGCAGACAAGAGTGGCTAAATATGTAAATAAAGAGCAATATGTGTGTGTCCTTATGACTATCACTGCTCATTGTTATTTATTATTGTTGTATGTTGTAGTGCTATTAGCATGGGTTTTATTAGAGTTTGAGATTTATTTTATTTATTTATTTTTTGGGGCGAGAGGGCCAGTGGGGTGTTGGGCAGGTGTTTATACCGGAAGATGTCAAATCTGGCAGCCAGATGGCGCCATTTAATGAGCATGAGGCGACGAGAGGTTTTTTAAACCAAGACGCGGCTTGCACCAGGCCAATAATCAATACAAAAAAACCTTCAAAAGTCAAATTAAAAGGTAAAATAACATTTATTAATTTAATTTGTAATTATAGCATTAATTCAGGATAATGTTGTTGTCGAGGCATTTTACAAAGTCATTTCAATTCAGTTATAGATCCCTGTTGATCTTGGTTATCAATGTGTTAGGTTCAGTTTATTATTAAAGTAGTTTAAAAAGTTTGAACAATGCAGATTGCATGGAGTCATTGACTTAAAGCATTTACTCCTCCTGGACCAGCAGGGTGTAACAGCAATGATGAGTTGTTGACTTCACAGCAATCCCTCACACGGACCATGCATGTAGCAACAGTGGAGAGGAAGAACTCCCCTCTAGCAGGTAGAGACATTCAGCAGAATCAGAACTGGGCTCAGTACCAGCAGCCATCTGCCACGACCGACTGGAGCTGAGAGAAGACCGGGTAGGGACACAACAACGGGTGAAACGACCCAGGAGAACTTTCTATGTTCATGGAAGTGAAAAGTTAACAGCAGGACAAGGAGACCAGTTTATAGCGATGCTATCCATTGATGTAGACACGTTCTGTATTCTTGCTCATTGTCCAGTTTGACCCTAAAGTAGGGTCAGGGTTTCCTCCAGTGTTTTATCAGCCTGGCGGGCCATCAGGCTTTATTTGCCCTCTCAGGTTTCAAAAGCAGGTTGGAATATAAATGTCTTCATTAAATTATCCAGCGTCTCTAAATATTAATTATGCTCACTAAAGAGCTCAGAGCTTTAAGGATGAGCTGTGTTTAATTCGTGGCTTTCTTTGTTAGCCAATCGCAGGGTGGGGATTGCAGTAGGCGTCCTCTAGGAGCAGACGAGACAAAATACAGCGACCTGAGAAACTTTATTTGGTTTTTAGTGAAAATGGAAACTGTTGGGAGGATTTGGAGGACAGAGCAGGTGGTTCTGTTGAGAAGGTTGTGGGTTCAAAATCCCTCTGGGATTGGAGCGCCTGGATCCTGCAGTCCAGAACTTAGTTTCCCCAGATTTGGTTTGGCCATGTTTTAAGAGCTTGCCAAAGAAACACAAACGAAAATTATTGAATATTTTTAATTTGCTATGTGATTAATTTATTGTGACAGGGTTACCTTTTGATTTAAATAACATTTTACTCAGTTTCCAGTATTTTACTTCCGGTTAGGACCAGAAGAAGAGGATTTCCTCCCTCCCGTTCTGCACTTAACAGCTTCTTTGTTAGTTAGGTTTTTATTTTCTATCTCCACAACAAAGAGTCTGCTGAATATATTTAATCTCTAAACTGTATTTCTGTTTCTCCATTTTTATTTGTGTCTGTGATTACGGCAGTCAGACTGCGGTATTGTCAGTAATGAGCCGAACTGGTCGGCGTGGGGACATGTTGACGGTTACGTAAGTGACTGCTTTAAACCTGGCATTGTATCAGGTTTGTGTTCACTTTTGAGAGTATTTTAAACTCGACATTTTTATAGTCTACCCACGGCATTGGTACTTTTTGATCAACTGTCAATAATTTCTGAATTAAAACAAGCTTCTTTATCTCTCTGAAAAGTTACTTGTGAGTTAGTTTTGTCCTATTTCAAGTGTACTAAGATATTTGCCCTAGATTTCAAACAAAAATACTTTTGTGTTTTTGCAGTGCCATGTTTGCCAACAGCTTGGCTTAAGTTGTTCCACCTCACCATATTATCATACTGGTGATTACTGATCAGAACCAATTAATCAACTACATAAAAGGTTATTTTAAAATACAAAACCGACAGACTAGATTATTTGAATTATCTCCTGATAAAACTCTTGAATTTTACAATTTATTAGCATATAGGTCAAAGAATGTGAAATGACTTGTTTGCTATCTACAGCAAAGTAAAAGAGCTGTTTTTAGATTTCACGTTTGTTTTATACCTTTACTGTATTTTGGAGATATAAAATCAGAACACAGCCTCAGAAGGTTAGTGTTTTATTTCTCACTGGCATGTACAAATTTATCTTTGAAGTTGCTGTTGGTGTTATCTGTAATGATTTTACGACACTTTATCTGTTTATCAGTGACCAAGCAAGACTGCCACGTTGGAAGCCATTTCCCCCCCCTCAGTAAACGTATCGTTTATGACCTCAGCAAATAAAAATAATCAGCAGGGAATGCGATGTAAAAATAGACGATAAGATTTATTCAGTTGTTTTCACATTGTAAGGTAAACCTTTCCTGGTTTGTAAGGCAGTACAGGTTACAAGGCACATTTCATCACTTAAACCATGACAAAAACTAAACAAAAATACAACATATATATACATATATATTTACTTTTTTTTCCTGTTTTTTGTAAAACCAACACAACACATCTTAGGAAACTGTGCCAAGCTTGGTCATCTCGGGTCTAATTTTACAAAATTCTCTTTCGATTTCTGTCATGTGAATATGCATGTAGCAGTGCATAAATAAAAAAAAGACAAATATTTTTAAAGAAACCTAAAAGGGCTTTCCTTTAGCTTCTAGGTTCATATTTATCACCAATAAACAGAACCGTGCTACATTAAATGTATGAAAATATAAGGCTTGTTGTAACATTCGTAAAATACTTGCATGATCATGTTGCTGCGTAAAACATAAGCCTCACTGCCCTGCAAAATCACAATCTTACCAGGTTTTTTTGTTAGTTTTTAGTTCAAATATCTTAGTACACTTAAAATAATACAATACTAACTAAACATGTTGAAATGAACTTGTCTTTATTCAGTAATTCTTGTATATTGATGTGAAATACTGGCTCCACTAGCAGATTATTTCACTTATTACGCGGGAAAAATGTCCTGTTGTAAATGAAATAATTGGCCAGTGGAAGTAATTTTGCTGGAAAGTTACTTCTAAGTTATCTTGTCTTATTTCAAGTGTGCTAAGGTATTTGTACTAGAAACTAGACCAAAAGTACTTGGTAAGATTTTGTTTTTTTGCAGTGTACTATCATGATTACTATTCGGAAAATCATTCATACCAAAAACACCAAATCTCACAAAGTGTTTCTGATTTGTTTTGTACTGCAAATATCTTAGCTTTGTTGTATTTCAAGTGTATTAACTTGAAAGTAACTTTTCAGCAAGATATAGAAGCATGTTTTAAATCAATAACTCCTTAATATTGATGAAAATTCAGTTTCACTGGCATATTATTTAACTTGAAACATTTATTTTCATCAGTTAAAAAAACCTGCTAGTTGAACTAATACTTTTTCATCAATACTTAGGAATTGACTTAAAACAAACTCCTGAAAGATTACTTATAACTTTTTAAGTATAGTAAAATGTTTGCACTAAAAATAGACAAAAAATACTAGGTAAGATTTGGTGTTTTTGTGCAATGTTACCCGATAACGAGGTATGTTTGCAGCACTGGAAAATTACAATGCAGGTAGATTTATCTGAGCCGTGGAGCTCAACCACAGCTGTGTTTTATATACAAATATGTCCCTGAAGGCTATTTATAAGGAGCTTGAAATTACATTATATTTATTTAGCAACTTTGAATTTGACAGCATGTTGATGCAGACTGTATATAAACTTTTCACAATATAAAAAACCAGAAAGAAGAAAGATTCAAGCTTTTGTTAAATGGTCTCTTGCTTCGTGATGGTTGGCTGAGGGATGGAGGTTGGCTGCTTGGGCACTGTTGCTATGACGCCCTGAGGCATTTTATAATGTTCTGATCCAGAGGCGGTGGGCGGGGACGGGATCGGAGTTTCAGGAGTGGCTGGAAAGCAAAATGCGAAAGACAAGGTTGGAGGCAGAACTTCACGGAAAGTGGAAATTTCTCAGCGCATTAAACAAAGGATGAAATAATCCAGATTAGTTACCAAGGAGAATTTAAAGAATTAGCCTGGTTTTTTCCTGCTCCACATGAAGCTGAGTGACGAAAGAGTGCCAATGTGTCTGAATTTTAATATTTCGATAGTTATATATTATAATAGTTCTATATTACATAGAACTTGCACAGCCAAGCAAAATCATGTAAAAATCCTTAAATGCTTGTTTCAGGGCAGATTGCTTAAAATGGAAGAGGATTATAGCCACTAAAAAATATCTGAGTTTAATCCCATAGTTCTTTTTCCCTCAGAATTTTGACTTTAATCTTTTAAATCTTAAAGTCACAGTTCATAAGGTTTAAGTCAGAATTGTGAGTTTAGACAGAATTCTGAGATTAAAATCAAAATTCTGAGAAAAAGTAAATTTCAGCACAGTGAAACTATGACTTCTTAATTACTGCATAATTAAGAAGTCTGATAAAAAGCATATACATTTTCTCGTTCTATATTTTTTTTACAAGTAAAAATCTAAACTGGCATTCAACAACAGCAGCAAGTATATCTCTAGTAGCTTTACAAATCTAAACACTGAGATTTTTGAATATTCTTCATTGCAAAATAGTTTAATTTGATCTGTCATTGACTGGACTTGGCAAACCTTT